TTATTATTGTTATGTTATTGTTATTGATTGTCGTTCGTTGGACGAAGCGAACCCTTCGAAGCAGGAGAGAAGTGGGAGAGAGGAGAAAAGATTGGGTAACGATTTGATAAAGATTTTCACGATTTCGCAGGGGAAGCGTTGCGATTGCAAGAGCAACGATTGGAACAAGCCTTGAGGCTTCACGGTGATCCTCGGGCCTTGAGTTTCACTCTCCAGCACGTGGTCAATCAGCAGAACAATCAGCAACCATGAAAATTCAGTTACTACTGAGACGAGTGGACCCCTTGGACGTCGGATCAGACGGGCCTGCAGCAAGTCGAACGACTGAATCAGCAACCTCTTCAAGGGGTTGAACGTCAGTTGGCGCTCAACGAGCAACAACAGCAGCAAGGCTCGTCCGGCATCGGTCTTCACCACCATCATCAACAGCAGCAGCAGCAGCAGCAGCAGCATCAACACCAGCATCAACATCAGCAACAACAACATCATCAACAACAGCAGCAGCAGCAGCAGCAGCAGCAGCATCATCCTGAAGATCGTGGCGTGAAGAGGAAGGCCGACGATATGATCGGTAACTCTGACAACGTGTAAAGAACGACGTACAACTCGACGTGAAGAGAAAAGAAACGCGCGTTTGCGCGCGTTTTTCTTCCATCGTCGATTCTACGTCGATTCTACGTGAACACGCGAGGCCGAGAATAAGAAAAAAGGCGTTCAAGTGTGGTCATCCGCGAAATTATTTCCGTCTCAGCAGTAGTAAACGAAATTATTATTATTATTGTATATTCCATATACACACGAGGAACCCGGTGATCCTGAAAAATCGGGCCGATTTCCACCCGATTTTCGACCTCGGGGAGAATTAATAATATCCTATTTCCGCTCGCGGCCCTCCTCGTGGGGCCGCGAAACGCGACCGGTGAAACGCTTCTCTCCGACAAAGACAGAGTGAGAATCTTAAGGGGGGGGGAGGAGAGAAGGTTAACGGTCGATAAATACGTATCTAGATATCCGTTACACGGTGCGTGAGGACGGCAACCAGCGGCCAATGGTCTTTCTTCTTTCTCAGCAACGCGCGAAAAATCTCAAAATTCGCGCGGATCACGTTGTTCCTACTTACTTCTTACGGTCCTGGATCCTAGAGTTCCTAGAACGACGACGCTCGCCGCAACACGGGAAGGGGGGGGAATCTCCTCGATCGTCCCTCCCCGACTCGGCCCCTCGAGGGGGAGGGGGAGGGGGACGATCCAGGAGGGATCCTCTCTCCCCGTTTTCTCGAGCGAATAATCATTGTTCTCGTTGAGTCGCTCTTCTCTCAGAATTCGCAGGACTCATTGGTCGCGCTGGTCGCCCGGAATCACCCCTGAAACGTGCCATAATTAATAATCCGAACGAATGAAACGAAAGAGAGAGAAAGGAAGGAAGGAAGGAAGGAAGGAAGGAAAAGAAAAGAAAAAGAAAAGAAACTTCTGAACGCGACTTCCGAGAATCACTCCCCCCCTCCCTCCCTCCCCCCGGTGAGGTGAAATTGAAAAAAAAAATCCGCCGGGAAAATTGAAGGAAGGGGAGGGGGAGGAGGGTCGATCTCGGACAGGGCGCGGGCACTACGATGGGTTTTTTTTAGTACAAGAGCCGAAACAAAAACACTTAGACTCTGTCCTAGAGAGACAAGGCAAAGCCTAGGTCTAAAGGGATCAACAGGTCTAAGGCCACCGAGAGCGACAAGCGCCGATATCAGATCCCGACGATTCGGGCTTGATCTCTCTAGGCTCAAAAAAAAAAAAAACAAAACTAAACTATAACTAAACTATACGATAAACTATACGATAAATACCTAGAAGCCACTTTAAGGTAACCCTTAATTCTTAGCTCCCGTAACGTTTAAGAAAGGAAGAGGAAGGATGATGGAAGAAGGAAGGTTAGATGGGATAGAGGCACGCGTCTCCTTGATATGTGCGGATAAACGAGGTTAAGGTGGATCGATTATAATTTCCTCGGTACGTCGTCCATTGGTAAAACGCGCGCGTACAACAAAATTATTTACGCATCCCCTTCCCCGTTTAACGGACGCAAGAAAAACGCGCAACAACAAAATGGGGAAAAAAGAAAGGAGAAGAAAGGAGAAGAAGGAGAATGAATATAAAATGACGGACGGTCTGGATTCGCGATCGCAGCGGCCCGACGACGACCACGGACGTGCGGCCACTCGTCGTTGGCCGCCGATCGATTTACGTGATTTAGTGTTGTATGTGTACACGCACACAGAGAGAGAGAGAGAGAGAGAGAGAAAGAAAGAGAGAGAGAGAGAGAGAAGAGGAGATGATGAGAAGGAGGATGATGATGATGATGATGATGATCATTACGACGAGAAAGAAAGAGAGAAAAAACTACACCAAACCACGTACACACATATACATACACACGCATATACACACGCGGAAATCCTTGTTACACGTATATACACTTGTACACACGTACACACTCGTATACTATATAATATAAAAAAAAAAAACACGCGAAGAATCTACTCCACGTAAGGATATATATATATATATAAAAGAAAAAAAAATGCGCGCAAACATGTGCTGGCCGGCAGCACGAGAACTATTAGCTCGTAAGCGAAACAAACAAAATATAATTATTAACACAAACAGTTATATTATATATATTATATATACATACAGAGAGTCTGGAGCGTATGATGGATTATTATTATTATTATTATTATTATTATTATTATTATTATTATTATAAATGAGAAAAGAGGGAGAGGAAAGAAAAGGGGGAAAAAAAAAAAAAAGATAAATCGAGGGACGGAGGGCGAGGAGGAGAATTTGCCGCCCTCCTCCGTCCCCGCCGTTTGTACCGCGTGCACACAATTTTCAAAGAAATATATAATATAATCGTCGTAGAGTGTGCGCGAGCATTTTTCGTGGGGAAAAAAAAAGAAAATAATAATAATAATTATGAAAATAAATAAATAAATAGAGGAAATAAATAGAGGAAAAAGAAAAAAAGAAGACACACACGCCAGAGAAATGATCGAGTAGAGGAGAAGAAAGAAAGAGAGAAAGAGGAAAATGAAAATAAAATAAAAAAATGAGATGAAAAATGAGATGAAGAGGAAAAAAGAGAGAGAGAGAGAGAGAGAGAGAGAAAGGGAGAGAGAGAGCGAGAGAGAAAGAGAGAGAGAGAAAGAAAAATAAAAAACTAAATGCTAAATATTATATATATTATATATATATATATAAATATTATAAATAATAAATATAGCGTCTATGAGACTAGGTTAAATTAGGCGAAAGAGGAAAAAAAAAAAAAATCGAATGAATGCGGAGCGCGTACCCGGCCAGTGGTACACGCACGTTCCCGAGCAACGACGATCGAGGGTCGAATGAAAGGAGACGCGTAAGAGAATCCGAGAGAGAGAGAGAGAGAGCGAGAGAGAGAGAGAGAGAGAGAGAGAGAGGAGGGGCAGAATGCAGGAGAGAAAGGAGACGAGAGAAAGAGAAGGAGAGAAAGGAGATTTGGTGAATGAACGACCTTGGGATTTGTCGCGTACGTGGACGGGCACGCGCTGTTGAATGAAAGAGAAAAGCTGCGCGAAAGGGAATGCTTCGTGAGCATCAAGGAGGAGAGAATGAGAGAGTGAAGCGAATGAGAGATTTTAGAGTGGCGTGCTTCAGGTAATCTGAGGTCCTGTGATCGTTATAAGCGAAATATTTTTTTATTTCCGGATATATATCTGAACGCGTAAAAAAAAAAAAAAAAATACTTGCGTCGTTTCGAACTTTTACTTGCAATATACCGTTACGTTCTCGCAATACTTAGAAAGAGGAAGAAGAATAAGAAGAAGAAGAATAAAAGGAAGAAGAACAAGAACAAGAAAAAGAAAAAGAAAAAGGAGAAGAAGAAGAAGAAGAAGAAGAAGAACAAGAAGAAAGAGAAGCGGAACAGAGGTGGATCAATTTAGGAAAAAAGAGAAAAAGGAAAAAAAGAACAAATACGAAGATGAGGATGACGAGGGAGAGGAGAGGAAGAAGAATATAGAAAGTCCGTAGTAGATTTGACCGTGGAGCGAACTTTAGAGAACTCGGGCCAGCCCCTTACTCCTAAATACCTCTTTGTAATGCCCCATCAATCTCGACCCTAATTCCCCTTTTTCCGACCTTTTATATAAAACTCCTGGACTGTCCGTACTTTCGATGGGGTTTCTTTCGACGAGACCAGACGAGATGAAACGAAACGTTGACCGTAAACCACACGCGCATCCGAAACAAAAAAAAAGAAAAAAGAAAAAAGAAACTCGAGTCTTGTTGGTTTTTTTCTGAAACGCGAAAAAAAAAAAAAGAGAAAAAAAGAACCGATACGGATAGTCGTTCGAAAAAGTTTTTAAAAAATTTTTTAAAAAAGAAAAAGAAAGAAAAAACGAAGAGGCGGTCCAAAGTCCAAAAAAAAAAAAAATTGAAATAAAAAATAAAAAAATGAAAAAATTGGGTAAAGAAAAATTAAATTGGGTAAAGAAAAATTAAATTGGGTAAAGAAAAATTAGATTGGGAAAAAAGAGAAGAAAAAGAAAAGAGAGGGAGACAGAGAGAGAGAGAGAGAGAGAGAGAGACAGACAGAGAGAGAGAGATAGAGAGGAATGAAAATAACGATTCTTTCGACCTAGACGATTCACCTACGACACGTTCGATTTCTTCGTTTCTTCGACTGGCAATCGCGGACTGAAGAGTGCGGAAATGAATGGTAGCGTGCCGAATTTTTTCTTCCCCCCATGACATCGTACGTCGACCGCGTTGTTGTTGTTGTTGTTGTTCCCTTCGGAGATTCTCGATGAGACTTTCGTTCCGTGACCGGTTCGTACGAATATCCCGACCCCTTCCCCATCTACCCCATTCCCCCCTCCCCCCACCTTTCTACTTTTTTTTTCATTCCAATTGTCTCTCCACGATCGCTTTTCTATCCTTTCAAAAAAAAAAAAAAAAAAAAAGAAACGATTTTCCTCATTCTGTGTCCCGAGATAATTCTAAAAAGTCTAACGAAACAAAACAAAAGAAAAAAAAGGAAACAAAAATGAAGAAAGAAAGAAGAAGAAGAAGAAAAAAAACGAGATATTTTTTTTTTCTTTCGATTCCCGATTTTGAACGCGCTTTTAAGTTTCGAAAAATGAAAACGTTTCGACGGATGGAAAAAAGGAAAAAAAGGAAAAGAGAAGAATAGAAACGAAAGGAGAAGTGGAAAAAAAGAAAAATAAGAGGAGAGGAATTTCAAAACACACAATTTTTTTGGGAAAAATCGCGAAATTGTAATCTCAATAACTAACCAAACTACTCCTAACTATTCCTCTTCAGGGGAATCCCTCTTTTTAATCCCCCTTTGTTCGCCAATTTTTGAAAGTAGCCTAACGTCGTCATCTTCGTTGAACGTAAAAAAAAAAAAAAAAGACACGCGCCGAGAAGCCGCCGGGTAGCCAGGCTTTTTCACCATCTGGGACGAGAGAAGAAAAGATTGCTAAAAGATTCATCGTCAAAGCTATTACATTTAACGATTGTTACCCGCCTTCGCCACTCGGAACTCGAGGGATGGCGCGATTTCTCGTTTTCGATTCTATCGCTATCGCGAATTTTTTTCGAAAAATTTTTTTCAAAAAAATTTCAAAATTCCCAAAATTCGATGTTTATTCGTTCGTTTATTATTATTATTTTTTTTTTCCCTTCTTCTTCCGCGATACGAACGAGAGATCACAGCGGTAGAAAAAAAAAGGAAAAAAGGAAAAAGAAAACAAAGAAAGAAAAACGTCTCAAGGATCGAGATTAATAATAATAATAATAAAAAATAACGTTCGAAAAAATCCTCGAGTTCTTGGTAGGCGTGCGAGTGGGTCGATCATTGATCGTTCTTATTATAACAATTTTTGCGTTACAGGGCGTTTTTTCCTCGGATTAAGTAGTATGTAAATACACCTTGATATCACAAGCATAAACTGAGAATTTACTGGTAAACTTAAATCAAGTACATAATGCGAAATAGGGTTAGTTTCTATGTAAATACCTAAAGCTGGACGAGTGCATACACCTCGTTCACGCAACCAACGATAATCGTTTTTATCGAACCAATGCTTCTGTTCGTCATCGGTGTACGCCTGGTCGTTGGTGATCGCCCTTGTACACAACCCCTCCACCCCGCCGATAATCCCATCGACGAGGGGACACAACAAAATTTTGGGGAAAATGATCGATCCGAGAGGGTTTGCGCAAGAACGTTCCCCAAAATGGGCGTCGCTGATCGGGAAATTTTTTTTTCTCGACACTGATACACCCACACCGTTACACATACACACGCTCCACGCAAACATTCACACACACACACACACACACACACACAGCATTGCGATGGATTGTACAGCTACGATAGGATAGAGAATAAGTAAGCCTCAGAAACACAATTCTTCACACACTCGCACCACCGGCACCGACTAGCCTCCAAATTAAGACAGGGACCAAACGTTTGGCGAACACAATTTTTTCCGAATATAATTATTCTCGAGGAAATATATTCGATCGAGTATGCGACAACAGTCTTTTCCAAAGGTTATATATAATATACAATGCATTCAACGTTTTCCGGCGCGAACGATTCGTTTGTTTCGGCAAAGGTGCGGCCGCCGATTATCGAAAAAAGATTGGAGAGAGATATTCGCGGCGATGTTTCGCGATATTACGTACGAAAATTTTTAGGGGAAAAGAAAAAAATATATATATATATATCGCGAAGTCAATCCGAAATTTTTTCT